TATAGGGTAGTGTTCGTTACTACCTACTACTTGGTAGTTTAGGGTAGTACGTTGCTAAGTATATACTATACTATATATATATATATATATATATATATATATATATGTTTGTGAGTGGATCCCAACCTGTAGCTATAGAGTGATGCATTCCGAGCCACCGGAATAAAGATGAGAAGGTAAGCAACACCAAAGTGGACAAACCTTCTCCTCAACCTGAATAAGTCTGAAAAGCAACACCCCAAACTTGGAATGACATGTTCCTGTATGCCATACTCAACCTGTGGAAACATAACTTTTCCAGTCTGGAATTATGAACACACATCTTCACTCCTCAACCGAGTGGGAAAGGTAAATTTCTCTAGTCTCCAGAATTATGGGGAGGATGTAGAACAAACTGTGCTCAACCAAGAAGTATTATGTATTTACTTTTTTTTACAAAAATCAACTAGGCAACACAAAGAACACTCAAAGTATCTTCAATGATCATAGTACGGAGAAACCCGTTGTGAATGCTTTGTCAAGAAAAAGTGATAATATTATTTTAATGAGGTGCTTATATACAGTACCAGGATAGAGGGTGCATTAAAATAGGTGGAGAGTGTCACGTGACAGATATCACCAAGGGCATTTAATGGGGGAATAAAAGACTGGAGCAAGCAAGACAAATTCAGACCAATGCTTAGATGGACAAAGGAAGGAAATCCTGGCAGTTGAGTAATAGCTGTAGTGTGAGAAGAGGTAAGTATGTTTTGGAACAAGTATTTTCTTTAGGAGTCAATTCAAGTGGTCTTAACTGGAGATGAACAAACTGAAGGACGCGTTTTCTTGGAAGTTGATTCAAGGTGTCTTAAATATAACTGAACAAACTGAAGGAAGTGTTTTCTTGGAAGTTGATTCAAGATGTTTTAAATATAACTGAACAAACTAAAGGAAGTGTTTTCTTGAAAGTTAGTTCAAGGGGTCTTAAATGTAACTGAACAAAGCTGAAGGAAGTGTTTTCTTGGAAGTTAGTTCAAGGAGTCTTAAATATAACTGAACAAACTAAAGGAAGTGTTTTCTTGGAAGTTAGTTCAAGGAGTCTTAAATATAACTGAACAAACTGAAGGAAGTGTTTTCTTGGAAGTTGATTCAAGGTGTCTTAAATGTAACTGAACAAACTGAAGGAACTGTTATCCTTGGAAGCTGAATGAAGGTGTATTAATTGTAATTCAACAATCTAAAGCAAGTATTTTTCTTGGAAGTTGATTCAAGGTATCCTAATTGTAATTCAACAATCTAAAGCAAGTATTTTTCATGGAAGTTGATTCAAGGTGTCTTAAATGTAACTGAACAAACTGAAGGAACTGTTATCCTTGGAAGCTGAATGAAGGTCTATTAATTTTAATTCATCCATCTGAAGCAAGTATTTTTCTTGGAAGTTGATTCAAGGTATCCTAATTGTAATTCAACAATCTAAAGCATGTATTTTTCATGGAAGTTGATTCAAGGTATCCTAATTGTAATTCAACAATCTAAAGCATGTATTTTTCATGGAAGTTGATTCAAGGTATCCTAATTGTAATT